GGCCTGGGCAGCTTTCCCTCGAAGGGCAGCTGTGGAGGAGTCCAAGGAAAGGACTGCTTTCCCACAAGGATGCTGTCCCCAGGTGCCAGAGCCCCCCAGGAGAGCTCCTCAGCCCTGGTGTGAAGTTCCTCAGGCCTGGAATTTAAGCTGTTGGTGATTTTACCCCTTTCTCTTATTCTTTTAAGTTCTTGCCTTCAATAGTTTTTGCCATATTAAAATGTGTTTATCTTTATTATTGATAGTAATTACTCTCCATTTTTAAGTTAGTGTCTTTTATCAACTTTGTCACTTTTAACTTGAAGAAGTCTTGCTATTTTTAATTGTTTTAACTGTTTTCCCCTAGCACCATTACTTTTCCAGGTTTTGAACTTTTCTGACAATCTTTTTCTACTCTTTTTAAATTTATGCTCACCCTTTATCCTTTTCATATTTCTGATCTTCATTCTTTTTACTTCCTCTCTTCTGGTTTCAAAGCTCTTTTAAACTTTTGTATCTATTTTTTTTTTTGCATTTTAATCTTTCTTAATATGGCTCATTTTTTTTTCAGCTTGTACCCTTTAATCCTACTGTAACTTTTAAAATGTCCCCTTTTGCCATTATAATGATCTTAATTTGGTTTGCTGTTCCCTGTTATAAGTGCTTGTTTAATTTTTAACAGCTTTATTGAGATACAATTCACACCATATCATCCCCCTATTTACAGTGTACAAGTCAATGGTGTTCCAGCATTTTCATAGATAGACACACCACCAGTCCATCTGAGAACATTTTCATCAGCTCTAACTCCTCTGTGCCCCTCCCTAGCCCTGAACACTCACTAAGCTACTTGTAGATTCCGTTTTGGACTTTCCTCTACATGGAATCATACAGTAATGGTCTTTTGTGATTAGGTTCTTTCTCCATGGAATCGTCTTGGCACCCCTGTGAAAAACTGGTTGACCACGGATGTCTGGATTAATTTCTGGACTACCGGTTCTATTCCATTGATCTCTATGTCTAGTCTCGTGTTGGTGCCAGGCTGTCTTGATTATTGTTGCTCTGTAGTTAAGGGATGAAACTGGGGAGTGTGAGCCCTCCTACTCGATACTTCTTTTTCAGGACTACTTTAGCTATCTGGGTATCTTGCAATTCCATGTGAACTTTAGAATTAGCTTGTCAATTTCTACAAAGAAGTCAGCTGGGATTCTGAGAGGAATTACACTGAATCTGAAGACCAGCTTAGGGAGAACTGCTATCTTAATAAGGATCTATGAACAGGGGATGTCTTCTCATTTACTTTTACCTTAAATTTCTGTCAGCAATGTAGTTTTCAGAGTATACATTTTGTATATGTTTTGTTAAATGTATTCCTAAGTTATTTTATTCTTTTTGATGCTATTGTGAGCAAAATTGTTTTCCTAATTTCACTTTCAGAGTGTTCATTCCAAGTGTAGAAATAAACTGATCTTGTGTCCTGCAACCTTGTTATACTTGCTTTTTATTTTTTAAGAGTCATGAGCAATGGCTAAAGGAAGAGCCTGTATCATAAACAGGGCGGCACAGATGCCAAGACACAGTATCCTCTCCACTGCTACGCTGGCCTGGTTACTGAACCTGGGAAACCTGTTACATGATGGGCTTAATCATTAGTCCCAGGGAGCAAGTCTCTGTCAACTGCTTCCAGCTGTGAGCATCTTCCGACTGATTCCAAAGTTAACTTCTACTTGGCTTTCCTTCTGTTCTCAGCACGATTTAATGAGCACAGAATGACTAGTAAACACTTGAAGAAAATAGTCCCAATTTGAAAAACAGATGAGTTCAGGGTGACTGTTCTCATTACCAAAGTTTTTCTGCTTTTTGCAAAACAGAGCACCACAGCTTTCTGTAATGCATTTGAAATAAGCCTGAATCCAACTCTTTGTTTATGGGCTTTTAGAAACAACTCATATTTATCCAGGCACACCTGTAAATTTACATGAAGTATTACATCATCTTTATTTATTACTTAAGTCTTGCCTACTCCATAATGCCTTAGAGGGAAGATTTTATGTTAATTTTACAAACTGGGATTACAAAGTTCAAGGCAAAAAAGACTAAAACTGTGCATTCATCCCTTGTCTCCTGCATGAGGAAAGTAACTCAAGTGGCACCTAATTAAATTAAATATGCTAAACATTTACTTAGCACCTACTCAGTTCCAAGCAGACACCTCACAGGCAGTAAGGTTTGAAAGTATGTGAGGGGTGTGGACACCACATTCGAGAAGCTCACAACCTAGTTGGAAAAAAGTCACACAGATAAGTGGGACCCATGTGACACGGGCAGTGAGAAGAAGCCTGTCAGCGAGCCTAAGCAGCAGAGGTGGGTGACAAGACCACCATGGGAATGGGATGAGCCTCCTGAACAGTCAGAATGGGCTCCCTGTGCATGCATGTGACAGTCTGAGAACTCTGGTAGTTATTGTCTGGGGAACCTGCCCTCTTAATGCTGCATAAGGAGCCAAAGCCACCACTACCTTTGGTACCCAGTGTCCGCTGAGTAATGCTGGCTATTCCTGGGGGTATTCTCTTCCCAGCAACAGGCCTCAAGAAAACCAGGACAACTCACTATGTAGCATGGACACAACTTCAGGGGTCAGGTAGATGACCTATCAGTGTGAAGCCAGCTGTGGGCTATACAACAGGAAGCAGGGTGTCTTTGGCAAGTTGAAAGGGGTCAGCATGTCTTTGCCTAGCCAATTGCTATTAAATATAGTTCAGTGTTGCCTGACTTTGTTTTTCTAAAGAAGTTGAAAGGCTGGCTTTTTAGGTGAATTTCTGGTTTTTAAATTTGATGAAAACAATGTGAGCCAAAAAGAATACATTGGTAGATATGACCATGACCAGTCTGTGGCCCCTGCTCCTATGCAGACCAGTTACCCTTGGAGCCTGTCATGGTGATTTCCCTCTACCATCTCTCCAGGGTTTTCTCACTTCTCCCTCCTTCCTGGACCATATGATTTTCTGCCTCTTGTCACCTGATGGTACATAGCTTCCTAAAAGGGAACACAGGAGATGGGAAATGAACTGTGCCAGATCTGCACATATGCAATACCGTATTTCACACCTGACTGATGCTAAAGCTGAGTAAAGAAATCCAGATTGAAAGTCATTCCCTTTAGAATGCTGACGGCTTTGCTCCCATGTTCCTGCTTCAATTACTATTGGGAAGTCTGGTGCCTCCTCTCTGGAGGCTCTTTAGCTCTGGATATCTAGTGTCATTCCTTGTGTCATTTCTCATCATCTCCTTTTTATCCTTTGCACACATTCCCTTTCTGTCCCCTTGGGAGCCCCTATTGTGTGGATGTTAGACCTTCCAGGCTTAGCCTTCTATTTTCATCTTAGCTCCATTTCCCACCTCTTAGGAGTTTCCGTTCTTTCTGGGGGATGTTCTCAACTTTATCTTACCATCTTTTCTTCCACTAAATATTTTATTGCAATAATCATATTTCTTCTTTTTCCAAGAGTTCTTTTTTATTTTCTGCATGTCTGTCCTTTATAGCCTCTTGCTCTGGTTTCATGGATGTATGTTCTCATCATTCTCTGAGGATTCTTTTAAGTCTCCTTCTGCTCGTTACTTTGTTTCTATTTTCCGATCATGTGCGCTTCTCTTACATTCACATTAGAGTTCTCGGATGTTCAGTGAAGCACTGAAATGCTGCCCCAAACCCCGTGCTTTGGCTGTTTTGCAGGTCTGGGAGGAGCAAGGCAGAGGTTGCCGTTGTGTGGGCTTTCATGATGGCGAGCAGGCAGGGGCCAGCTCTTTTGTTGGGAAACCCCTAATTTCAGTATCCAGAAGACTTCTTTCTCTTGAACTAATCAGTTTCTATAGAAAAGAAGCCTTCTGGCCTAGGGGACTGTAAGTCTGGCTGCCAGTGTTCTAGGAGCCAAACTGGAAAAAGCAGTGAGGGGACTTTCACCTTCGGGTGTGTGGGGATTGCCACATCACTCTCATTTAAAGCACAGCACCCTGTCCCCAGCTGGGTATCATGTTTGTGAGTCTAGAAACCCAGTGTATCCAGATGTTTGCCTTTGTGGAAAAGGGCTTCTTACCTGGCTATGTGATGTAGGGGAGGGGACCTGGAGGACAGTGGTTTTTTACTACAGATGACCAACCAAACTCTCTGGTCCCATCCAATCTTGTGCTTTTAAAAGTACCTGGACTCTCCAAATTTTTAGTTTATTTGGGTCTGAGGGGTGATTCTTGGCTACTGCCCTTCATGGGCCTTTAGCATTCCCAGTCCACTCAGTCAGTTATCATTTGTCCATCAGCCCTTCAGCATCAAAATACTGTTGACAACGTTTTTTGCATTGGAGGAGTTCGAGAAGAGTGCAGATAAATACATATATTCCATCTATCATCTTTTACTGAAAACTCTGACCCTAGCTTTTTAAATGACCATGCTTAATCAGGAAGGGGTAAACAGTATGGGATAAAAATAAAAAATAGAGAAAAATAGGAACTAAGGAAGGTATTTTAAGTTTTATAGTTTATTGTCCTTAGTTTAGTTTTCTTAAAAGGTTCAAATCCCATCTCTGGTGCTTACTGATTGTTTAACCTTATGCAAGTTACTTAGCATCTCTTAAGTTTAGTTTTCTTATATGTAAAATGGTGTTACCACCACCTACCTTATAGGGCTGGATAATGAGATCACGCAACATAGTTTAGGTACTTCAAAAATGCTAGCTGAAGAATGTGCAAGAAGGAAAAGATGAGCTTGTTTTTGGACACCACAAATTTGAGATTCGGGGGACATCCATATAGAGATTTTTGCTGTTAGTTAGAACTGTTTTCATTCAGCAAACATTTCCCGAGCCCTTTTTTTATAGAAGATCCTAAGTCAGGCACTGAGGAATAAAGAGTTGAATAAATAGGTGAAATCATCCCACTACTAAGGCCAAACAGAGTAAGGTTGGAGCATAGAAAAGAGAAGTGAAAGCTGTCCATGCAGCCAAGGGAATAGAGGCTGAGGCTGTCTTTACCTTTCTTTGTCTTACAAGGTCCACATTCAGGGTGAATCTCTTGTAAGGGAAGAGACACCACCTTCGCTAGGCCAGCATTCAGCATGTACTGGTATAAACGCTTAAATGTCCTCTCGCATAGTCCCTGCAGAACAAAATTTAAGAGCTACTGTTAGGTACAAACAAGGCATTTGAAACTATTCAAGAGTTTTATGAGCGCATATAAATTCAGGACCTGAGTTAATCAATTATCTTGAATGTGGAAACACTGGAGGTACTAATGAGAAATGACTCTTAAACTATGTTGTCAAGGGAACAAAACAAGGTCCAGTGCAATATGTAAATGATTCAATGATTCTGTCTTTTGATTATGAAAGAGAGGAAAAAGATTTGCCCAAAGAGATCCTAAAGGGATATAAAGAGTGAGACTGAGGCAGAGGGATAGAGCTAGGAGACTTTTCACTGTATACTGTTTCATGTTGTTTTGATTTTTTGACCAAGGAAGTGTATTAATTATTAATACACACACACATACACACCCCTCTCCCACAGCAGTGGAATGGAAAAAAATGAAATTAAAAAAAAAATTCATTTAGTCTGTGAAGTTTCAACAAAATGATGGTGAGTGCATAGACCCCAGCGCTCACATTTCTGCAAAGTGGAAACAACCAAAATGCTCACAGGTGCTCCTAGCTGCAAGGGCCACCAATCAGCAGCCTCCAGTGCAGGCCATGTTTTGAAATCTACACTTTTTTCAAAAAAGCAATTTACTTGCCCACATTGAAAGGTGAGGGCTTTTAAATAAAGAAGCAGATTCTGGCTTCTCTTGAAAAACAAGATCTGCAATGAATCCTAGGAGTGTGGTTCCTCACCACAGCCATCAGTGGGAGTGAGGATCAGCTGCTCCCTCCGGACAAGCACACTTGTCCTGGGTGCCATGGCCCTGGGCTCCCAATTGACCCTTGCACAATGAGGCTGAAGATCAGCTGCCATTTATCACCACTTTTGTACTGTGTTTTTCTCATGGTAGGTAAGAGGAAAGTTAAATATTTCTTGAATCCATACTGATAACCAAAAGTTGTTTATACTTGGCCTATTCCAGTCATTCCTATAGCCCTCCTGGCCACTGCTAGCATTTGATGTTGCAGCCTCTGGATTAGTGAGGCAAATTCTACTGCTCTAAGTTGTGGACTAACAACAGGAGGCACTCCCAACTAGCAGTTGTTAGCTGAGTGTTACAGGTTTCCTCTTGCATTGTGGGGTGGGGGGGGAGTGGGAATAAACAAATGTCTGTGGGCTGCCACCCCCACATGTGTGATCAACTCCCAAACTAGCCAGCACTCTAGCCACTGGGCAGCAGAACATACGACTATCACAGATACAGATGACTCACACATGGCCCATTCAAACCCACTGGCTTGTAAATGGCATCTAACGTTAATCTAGCCATGCCCCCATCATCATAGAAAGACCCTATGGAAGCTCACCCATCAAGTCCCAGCCCTCAACATATGGTTGTAAGCCCTGGACCATCCTAAGTGAGGGAGAACAGTGGAGTCCTGCCTTCTGGGGGACCACCATCAAGAACTTGTATGATCAGCCCAGAAAAAAACAAAGAAGCAATAGGGGCCTCACCCACTCCCCCAAAAAGATAGCATCCATAATCATGGCATCGACCTCACCTAGACTAATTATTCACTAAATCCTGTTCAGCTCTCTCTGCCCCCTATTTCCAGCTGCTGACTAGACAATGCCAAGCAAAAGTTCCAGAAGATTTTCATACTCAATAAATCCCCAAATCAAATTTACCATTTGCCTCATCCTTAATCAGATTTGTTCCTCATTCTGTACTCTCTACTTCATTCACACAGTCATTCAACAAATATTTACTGAACGCCAGACACTGTCCTCATGGTGGGGGCTTAGCAGTGAACAAACTAGACATGGTCTCCAGCTCCAGTCTAGTGAGGGGCAATCACTCAGCCAGACATCAAGATGCCTCCTCTGCTCACTTTGCGTCCTGGCTTCAGTCGCCCACCAAGTCCCATTAGTGTCACTTCCAAAGCATCTCAACAATTCAAGCCGGTCACCCACCCAGCCTCAGGCCACAGCAACCGCCTTGCCGCCTTGCCTCCGATCACTCTTCTATCCACCAGTTCATTTCCTAAACACTCTTCTCTTCTTGTAACTTCTCCACTTATTAACTGCCACCAGCAGTTTGTAAGGCTAAAGGCTAAAACCCAATTCCTCAGCCTGGTTGGTACTCAAGACTGTATCTTATCCTGATTTTCCTTTCCAGCCACATCTCTTACTGGTCCCACCCAAGCACACTGCCTCCTGGCTACCCGCTGGATTGTTGCCAAGGTCAAAAACATCCCACAGCCTCCCATAAGTAAGTACATGCCTTTGCTCAAGCTGTTTTCCTTTGAAATGCCATTTCTCCTCCATCTATTTTGGGAACACTTAATGTTCAAAGCCCAGCTCAACTGTAACTTGCTTTCTAAAGCTCCCCCGAGCTCTCTGAACAAAGCTCACCTCTCCTCTTCTGGAGCTCAGATACACCCTTCTAAGTAGCACTCCAGCCTAAGTGCATGTTCACATGTCGGCCTCTCCAGCTGGACTGCTCCACAACTGTGTGAGACATGCCGTCCTCATGAATTTTGGTCATTATACTGCCCAACATTTCTGGCTCAGATTAAGCACTCATTAAAGTATTTGTTGAATGAATAAGTGAAACCCTCTGTCCTACTCAGTCATTCAAGGGAAGGGAGGCCAGGCTTGTCTGTGGACTAGTCCACAGTGAGTAGGACAGAGGGTTTCAATCTCCAATGTCTGCATGGGCTGGATGAGAAATAGAAACAACAAAGCGGGCAGGTATTTATTAAGTATATAGGAGTTTTCTTCATTTCTACTAAGGTCTCTCAAGAATATGCCTTGTCAGCCCACCTTTTATTTTCTACTTTTGATAGAGACTCGGATACCCAGAAATATTTTTCTCTGATCACAGTATTTTTCTCTGTGCATGTGTTACAAATGGCACTCCTTGGTATCTGAGAAGGTGACAGGAAGCAAGAGGCCTAGGGTGGCTGGCTAGTGCACAGCTATCTTTGGCTAACTGTCGTCATGAAAGACTGCAGGCCCAGGCTTGCCACAGCTTCTGATATTTCAAGGGAAGCTAGAAACCTAGAATTTCATGTGGAATCCCAATTTTTCTAGGCTAAATTTATTTTTAAGAATGTACAGGCCAAATCTGACCCACAAGCCTCAGTTTGTAACCTGTGCTTTAAAGTGACTTAAGGCATGCAGTGAATCTAGCAATAGGAAAGAGACCCCTTTCCCTCTGTTCCATGAACTCGGAGACTAGAGCTTCACCAATACAGCACAAGGCCAGGAGTAAAAAGGATTATCTTGGTGTCTACAATCAGACTCTAAACCATTTTTCTTTATGGACTAAATACTACTATTTAAATTTTTTGTTTAAGTTCTACTATTAACTGACAGAGCAATTAATTTTTCTCCCATTTCCAATACTGGCTCTTTTCAAACTTCCACTGAAGATTGTTCAAATCCGACTAGAATGAGTGCCACTTCTGTGCTCTCTTCCTCTCTTCACTTACCACTGCCTTGACTCCTGGGCCCAAAGACAAAGCAGGTCAATAGCTGCTTTACTCCTGAGCATCTCACCTCCTTCTCTGTGCAATCACTCTGTTACTTCAGTATAAAACTAGCAGGAACACAACCACAAGCTTGGTAACAAAAGGCAACCTGATTGCCCAGATTTACCATTCCATATGAACTTTTTGAGCAGGTTCTAAAGCAAACCCAGGGAAATGGAAGCCAATCAAAAGCAAGAAGGATTTACATTAAGGACTGAGCACTTTTTCATTCTGTAAAACATAGGAAGATCCCACCTGTTTCACGGTTAGGGATAGTTGGGCTCTGAACTGGGCTTCGACTGTAATTCATTTACTCTACACTTGACAGAGACCTCCCCACTGCCATACAGACCAATGCAGCCCCGCACACGGGAAGCCCCAGGCAGCTCACCAGTTCCTCCCTCAGCTTTCCCAGTGTTTCTATCTGGTTACTTCGTGTGCTCAGCACAAGCGAAAGCTTCTCCATAAGGATGTCATATTTGCTCCTCCTGTGAGAAACCCGAAACAGATCATTTGTTCAAACTTATTGCCAAACTTTTAACAGATGTCAAAGCAAGACTGAAATGACAACACATTTAACTACTGAACTGCAGTGTTAGGTCTTGGCAATCATCTCCAACACTTTCCAGCTGAAGACTGTGGCTCTGAGTGGTTCGGTCACACAGCCATAGGCACCTAAGACCCAGATGCTATGGCTAAAACTTTAATGATTCTTTAAGATGCCTTACATTCTTATCATGCTTTCAAGTTTAGGAAGTACCTTATACATTTCCTTGTAAGTCACTTGATGAGGAAGGACATAAGGAAGTTCACAGGCTTTCAAAAATTCAGGCCCAAAATGCCAACCTAGGCCTTCCAAATCCAGGCCTCTCTTCCCTGCATCCTGGTGCCTCTGAGTCTGAAGCCCTGATTTTCACTGACTTCACCGGTGTGACTGATCCCACCTTCCATCTCATTTTTACTGTGAAGAGGATATCATAGTAAATGATTCCAAGCTAAGGGCCACCCATGGAAGCCAGTGAAGAGAACAAAGGGCCCCTTGACTGTGTGTGCCTGGGGGAGCTTGGGGAAGGTGGGCAGGGAGGGGCCTTCGTGCCAGCAAGGCTGGGAAAGGTGAACTTGGCTTAACTGCCCACAGGTCCAGGGGCACAGAGGGCATATGTGTGGCACTCAGAGACTACACCTCCTTCTCCATTTTTACTGCCTCTCAACGAATGAAATAAATGAGGGTTCAGAAACTTACTGCATAAGTACTGTGTCATGGCTATTTCACAGAAGAGGAAACAGTGGCTTAGAGAGGTCAAGTAAGGGAAAAGGATTCAAATATAGGTCTTGACTTAGTCCATTGTTCCTACATCTACTCACAGGTGCTATCCCATATTCTTTGAAGATCACAGGCTATATACCAGTTATAAATTAGGTGATAAAGGCATTTAGCCAATGGATAGTATGACTACATGATTAAAATGCAAATTATTGAAGTATGATTCTCTCTAATGCACTATTTCCAAAATGTAGGTTTGAAGACAAATTTGGAGTTTTAACGGGAGGACAGTGACATCTTCATTCCAGAAATCTTTAGTCAATTGTCAGTCCACACACATATACCAAGCACCTTCTTCGGACCCAGCCCTGTGCTATGTAGTGGACACTAGAAACTTTGACACTTACACATAATCCTGGTGTTTACCACACCTCCCTTTTGGAGGGTGTGTCAACCACTGGGTAAAGGGCAAGATATCTGTTATCTGACAGGAAAAGTGCAGTCACTCCCTGTGGCCCAGGAAAAGGATCTGCCCACTGCCTTCCAACTGTCCATGGATAATCCCCACCTCTACCATGGAGCACTGGTGGCCAGACACTGGGGGCTCCCTCCCAGCTCACTCACTCAAGGATGACTTATTCTGGGCCCTGCACCAGCTTGCCCCTTCCCCACCCTAGTCTTTTCCCCTCCTAAGAAGGAGTGTGTTGGGTGGTAGAGGGCAGGCAGAGACCTCTCTATAGGGTGGTAGAATATTTCTTCCCCTCATTCCTATGCCAGCTAATTAGTCACCGCCAAAAGGGGATTAAAGACTCAGGGATGCACTCCCAGAGACTCTCTGGTCCTCTGAAGGGAAAGTGCACATTTTAGCACCTTGCTGTATTGTCTGGATTAGGATACACAGCTAAACAACAACATCACGCATAGTGTTACTATCCCATCCATGTAGGTTGATTATGATGGTTGCATGCTGGAAAACATGCCAATTTTAAATTAATACAATTCAGTCTCAACTCTGTCACTGTAACAAATCAAATTTGACTCATTTACTTTTATTATTTTTATACTCTGAAAGAATTTCACCAAAATGTTTATACTTCCTATTGTGGGCTATGGGGTTATAGGTACTTATTCCTTCCTTTCTGTATAATTTCCAGATTTGCTACGTAAGTAGGACTTATTTTCATCATCAGAAATAGTAAATATTTTTTCAAAGCCATAATCATATTCTAATTCTGCTCTATGATTTTTAAAGAGGTAACACACATGGCTAAACAACAGATGTGACAAAGTGTTCTGGTCCCTATACAATGTACCTGTCCACATGAAACCGGTTCAGGAGGAGGAGGATCGAGTGCTGCTGGGCTCCAGTGGGTAATCGGATCACATGTGACTGCATCGTAATGAGCCCGTTCTTGTTCAGAATTTTCCTATGATAGTGGAGCTTCCCAGCATCCACCCTGCAGGGGAGGGAGAATGTGCTGTTGGTTCGCCTTGTGGGCTGCTTTCAGCACACAGTGCAGAGAGGTCACATCTGGACCTGAATACCACAGATACACACCTTCTATTCACAGTCTAAAAGAATAGTTGCTATGAGGCAATGGCCTTGGGAAGGACAGCCATGCCCCCGCCAAAGAGCACACCCCAGGCCCTCAGGAGAGGCAGACGGGGAGGTGGGGGAACAGGCCAGGAGAAATGGAGTGGGAAGGGATGGCTGGGGTGGGAGGCAATAAGGTTTAACAAGGATCAAATATGGGTCTCTAATCCTATAGTGGCCAATAACCAGGGTGATTATACATCCTGATTTGCCATATGTCCCAATTTATGCCAACTGCTTTGCTGTCCCTTCTGGTCAGCTCAGCTTCCATTCTCACAATGTCTAGTTCGGGCAATAAATTATAGTCACCCCAGGGTCTCTTCAAAAAGCAAGCACAGTGCTCCCAATACCCATGGACTGTGGACTGCCTAGGCAGCAGGGATGAAAGGAGTGGGGAAGAAAGTCAGCAGGCCCCTGCTAGGGGTCAGGGCACGATGGTCAGCACAGCCTTCAAAGCAAAGAAGCAAGTTAGCCCCTCACTTGAAAGCAGTGCTGTGGAGGTCTCGCTGGAGCTCCCCTTGCCACCGGGATCGGCCTAAGCGCTCCAAAATGCAGTAGGAGAAGTCAGGGAGCTTCAGGTCGGGGTCGCCCTCCAAGCCTATCAAGGCCCTGTAACGCATGTCCTGGGAGGCAACGATGATCAGTTTCTTCCCCCATCTGCAAATCAGAAACAACCACATGAAGAAATAACTTTGATTTTGAGAAAATCGAAATATAAAAAAGCAGTTTAAAGAACCACTGTTTTCTGCTGCTTCTTAGAGGTTCACAACCCCCTATTAAGGAGGTTTCAGTCTTGGAACCACACAGTGTTCAGGATGAAGAGCCAATTTGGTCATTTCCTTGTGTAATTCCCTCCCAGGCCTTACCAGTACACTCACACCAAAACCCCAACTTCCCACGAGGGCCTGGGATGTCCTACATACCTTCCACCACTCTGCCCCTCCTCACAAAATCCTGCTGGTCTTGAAATAAGTGCCTTCCTCTGACTGGCTGCTCTTCTCCCAGTCTTCAGGTCTCCAGGTCATTGCTTCAGACATCAGCTACTCAGGCCTTCAGTGAAGTGCCAACCAGAGTCCACGCCCACCTCTACCCGTTTCCATATTCCTCACAGCACCCAGCACTCTTGAAAATGCTTATATAGATATAGATATAGACATACATACATACACACACACACACACACACACTTTGGAGACATTCCTGTCTGTTCTCCCCTTTCAAATATAAGAGCTGTAAATGCAGACACATTGTTGACTTGTGCCTAGAATGATTGGGTGCATATTAGGGATTTTGTAAATAATTTAAGTACGTGAACTAGCCCACTGAACTGGGAAGATAAACCTGAGTCAAGGACACTGAACTATGTAATCAGTGAACCTGTAGTCTGTTAAAGACCAGAACTGGGACAAATCATTAATTCCTCCTATTGCCTAGGTTTGTGAAAAACTATACCTGAAAAATAGGCCAAGAATACTTCCCGACAGAACACCTGTGAGATTAATGGGATTAATACATAAATCAGGTAACAGAGAAATCAAATGTACAAATACATATGACTTGATTGTTTTTCCTACAACTCTTGATGCGTGATCAAAAACAGAATGATTAGAGCCAAAACAGTTCCTACAACACGTGACCGCCCTCACATGGTTTCAGTGTCCTTGAGGAGCATCACGCCCTAGGGCTAGACTCAAGGTTAGATGATGATTGTGTGTTGATCATGTGTGGAACCCCCTACTCAGAATTCTTTAGATATTTAAGTTCATTTTCTTGGTAAACATGAGGAGTGCCTTTTTGGCATTACTCTTGTGCTGCAAAGCCTTAAGTCCCCTGGCTGGCCTTTCAGATCTCCAGCACTCCAACGCGTTCCCTCCAAATCTGCGGGTCAGAGGCAGGTGGGAGCTGACAAACACCGATTTCTCTGCTGAGGCCTAGCAGTCTCCTCCATGGAGGCCCCACTGCCTGTCCTACCTACTCATTTCTGTGGCCATCATGCGCAGCTTGGCCCGCTGCACTCACACACCCTCAGGGTTCAGGCCCTGCGGCAGACAGCCCACAGGCTGTGCTGGCAGAGAACCCATCACTCAGCACTGCTGGCATCGAGATACACCCACTTGGAAAAGCTCCCTTTCCAAGATCAATGTCACCAAGGGTCCACAAAGAGGAGCCCACGGGCCGCCAACCCTCTCATCTGGAGCAGCATCTCCCCTTCCTAGCTCTGTCGTTTACAGACCCCTGACCACAAGGGCTGTGTTCAGTCCCATCACACTCGGACAGTTCTTCCTTGGGCCCCATACCAGATGACTTCACTGCTACCACCAAGTTGACGAAAAAGAAAAAAGAGGCTGTCTTCATTTTAACTTAACTATAGCTTCCTTCACACTGCTCATGACCAATAATTAATCTTTTGCAGAGTCACGGAATTCTCTATAGTTTTTCCAAAAGAAGTGTTAGGTTGTAAATACATGTGAAGGACAGAGTTTACTTTCTGGGTCTGCATGTCATACACTTAGAATCTATGCTCTCTCATCTCAAGACAGGCTCATTAAGTTAATAAGAGAAGATTAGTTGAGGAAAGAATGTTTGAAATGCAAACTGGTTTGCTGCTTTTTAAATGTACTCAGAATCGTTTACTACTCTGTACTATCATACATACCAACTACTGATTAAGCACAATGCAAACCAGAGATACCAAGGTAAATGAAAATGGTATCTTCCTTCAAGGAGTTCAGTCTACTGAAGGAGAAAGACAGGAAAATGAATAATTCTGCTATGACTCAATAACTGCTCTGACAGACAGCATAGTGGTTGAGGCTATGAAGCGACATTTATGAGGAGCCCCAGTTCAAGCTAAGGTGTGTGAATGGAGCATGTGTATAGTAATGAGGGAAAGCTCTCAAAGGAGGGATTCCTGAGTTAGCAGTACACTGGATGGGTGCAGAGTGAGGAGGCAGAATGTGCAGGAAGGGGCATGCCTGTGGGGGTGGCTGGGGGGCGAGTGGTGTGGCATGGCTGCAAAGTCTGGTGCATGGCAGCACGCTAGAAAGTGGAAGGAAGGAAAGCTGAAGAGGCTGGTGGGAGTTTACATCCTGAAAGGCCTTGGGATGCCATGCTGGGGAATTTAGATTCTATGACATAGGTCAGGGGTTACAACTTCAAACTCAATACATTAGTCAATCAGTTAACATGCATTTTTAGGAGCTGGCTTTGTGCTAGGCATATTCTAGATCCTAAAGCTACAGCTGTGTGAGACAGAGTTCCTGCCCTCAAGAATTTATAGCCTGGTGAGAACAGAGTAACATGAACAATTAAGACCACTTTGGTACCAAAAAGAGTACTATGATGGTGCCTGGGCAACAGGGAACACTTTTTGATGAGGTGAGTTGAAGGATGAATGAAAAGAAGGAGGTGGAGCTGTTAAGGCAGAACATTCTAGGCAGAAGGAACCACATGTGCCAAAGCCCAGCGACAGAAAGGAGCCCAGCAAGGTCAGGCTGAAGCATAGTGAAGGGTCAGGCAAGTTGAAAGGGCTGAGGTCAGAAATATGGGTGGGACAGAGCCTGAAGGGGCCCAGTCAGCAGGGCAGACAGCAGCTGCAGGGCATGGGGGATCTGGGGTGGCTATGTCCCCTACGTCACCAGGTAAAAATTCAGTCCCAGTGCAATTACATCTTTGATTTTTCAAGAGAAGCCAGAAATCCCGATTTTAAATATTAACAATGAAATAAAATAAAAAACCAACAAAACACCATGCTGAATAAATAAAGCATGTCTGAGGGGAGATTTGGCTGGTCTGAAACCTCTGTCCTGAGTGAACAGGTCACTACCCATCACACTTCTATCTGAGAAAAAAATACAGCATAGAAAGTTAAAAAGAGAAGAGACAGCATGAAGGGAGACAGTCAGGAGACTGCTGCATAATTTTGAGGCCAAAAGGGGTTTGAGAAAACTAGAAGGTCAAGTCCATAGGACTTGGTGTCCAACTGAATGTAGAAGTTAGGAAAGAAGGGGTCTAGGAAGAGTCCCAAATTCACAGCTTATATAGCCAAGTGCATGGGAAGATTCCCAAGCAGAGTAAAGAAACAAGAAAGTAAAGAAAAGGAAGAGAAGGCAGGTTTGGAGTGAAGGGGAGCAATGTTCTAACTTCCTGGCATGCTGAGTCGGGGGGCAGGTTAATGAAGGGTCCCACAGGGCACTTGCAAGGAAGTGTAACTGAGCCTTTGGAAGTAGCCAACAAGGGGTGGGCAGTCAGAAAGCCCACAAAGGAGCTGGTGAGGATCAGCTAGGAAAACAGAAAAACAAAATGGGAAGTCATGGGGCAAAAGCTTCAAAAGTCCTTAATGGGGTGAGAGGTTGAGTGGTTAGGGCCTAACAGTGTCCACAGGTGTGTTAAAAGGGGTCTGAGAGGATGAGCTTCCTGTGAACTGATAAAGCGCAGAATCAGGCCTGCAGTGGGCAAAGGAGTTGACGGGAGGTGAAGAGGGAGGAAGAGTGGGTGCAGCTGTTCCTTCCAAGAGGCATGGCGGAAGCGACAGAACAAGAACATAGTTACAGGGCATCTGAGCTCAAGAGAAGGGTCTGTTGAGGGATGGGCAAGTCACATCGGTGTACTGAGGAGAACACACGAGTAGACAGGTAAACACTGAAAGTCAAGGAGAAAGAGAGCGGAGAGAGGCAGGAAGTGCACGAGGTACAGGGCGCTGGGCTGGGGAGCAGGTCACAGCCCCTTCCAGCACCAATCCTCTGAGATGTCTCCTCTGAGATGAAGGAGAGGGAAAAGAATGTGGGGAAGTCTGCAAGTTAAAGAAGATGGAAATTAGGAGAGTTTATACTGGTAGCTTCTCCCTGTTCGGTAAAGTGGGAAAGTTAAGTGGGAATGTGGGTAGGGAGAGAACTGAGAAAATGACAATTTGGATTAGCCATCCTGGGGAGTAGGGACCCAGACTGAAGTTTCACAGAAGGATCATGGGGCAGCACAGGGCCTGGCTTAAATAAGAGAATGAAAGGCACCAATCCAAATGGTAGCTGCCTGTTCTGCCCAACTGTGCTAGGGCTGTGGACACAAAGGAAAGAGAAAGGCAGGCTCCTCTGCCCCCTGAGCAAAATCAGCCCCAACAGGATCAGAGTGAAGAAGGCAGCAGACTGGCCTAGTGCAGGGCTGGCTCACTCCACCAGACACTGAGGCTGCAGCCATCTCAGCGTTCTGACCACATCCCTGACTTCAAAGCAGGAAGAGTCCCATGAGTTTCTGATGGTGCAAATCAGTTACCTGCCAAAGGCTTCCGCCATTGTACAGCAGGGCTGTAAAGACTTGGTCCTGATGTCACTGGTAATGTTTTTCCTCTCCTTAAAATACCGGCATGAGCCCTGGATGCCATCCTTATTCTCTAAGATCATATGAATGGGGTAGACATCCTCCAAAGGGACTGGGTCCCTCCTTGACTCCAAAATTCCTGTTTCCAAGTCAATTTCTTCATACCTAAGGGGGAAAGCACAAATATCAAACCACGGCTCAGCTTCAGAAATAACATATGCTTGGTGTGTTCTTCTGACACTTTCTAGCAGAAATCAGAGAGAGGGAGTGACATCACTCCAGTCTTCCCATCTTAGAAACACAGATCATCTTGACAAGCAGAGTCCTGCCTCTCTAGCCCAGAGAATACAGACCTCTCCAAGATCCCCAGCTCTACCCCAAAAGCCAAATGCTGGAACCAGAACCACTTTACTGGCCTAAGTCAAGGCCTTTTGGTTTCCCTCCTAATCTGGTGCCTGCATGTTACCAGCTCTCATCTTTTGAATCCTCAGTCCTGTCTTTTTCCCTCCTTGGTACCACATTCTCCCAGTTGCCTCATATCAACACCATGGACATCTCTGACTTGCATCTCTTCTTTTATCCAGCAGCCAAGTTTGTCAAGATTTCCTTAGGATCTTGCTCACATCCTGCACTTGCCTAGTTGAGGCTAAAACCCACGTATACTTTTCAGGCCTTTTCTTCCTTGCCCTCTCTGTGACCTTTGCATGGCTTAACCCTCCATTCTCAAATCTCATCTTCCTCCAGCTTCCAGGACACCATCCTGGACTGCTGCCCTCTACCTTTCCAGCCATACCTTCTTTTCAAAGCTCCTGGTCCTCCACACATGCTTTAAATGTAGGCTCACCTAAGGGCATTACTTAAGGCCTCCAGTCACAGCACACTCTCTCCTAAGAATGGTTCTAGCCAACTGCTTTAATTACCAACCATATGCGATGACTCTACATGTCTAACTAGCTCAGGCACTCCCTGTGGCCCACTGTCACTCCTGTGAAGCCAGATGAACACAGAATGTCCACTTAATAACCCAAAGGACCCTCAAACTCAAAGTGTCTCAAAATACATTCAGCACCTTCCCCCACTCCCCTCAGACTCAACCACTGTGCTGCTCCTCTGGGTTCCCAGCCAGAGCGATGGGCTCGGTATTGCCTCAGCTACCCAAATGTCAGGAACTCGATGGCATCATCCTTCATTCCTAGCTTTCCTTACACCCCACATCCAGTCCCCAAATCCTCTTGATTCTTCTGCCTCCTACATCTTCATTCCATCTGCTTCTCTCTTCATTCTCCCCTAAACTATGGTAACCCAAACCATGATCAGTTGTTCCCGACTGGATTACAAGTCTCTTAACTTCACTCTTTGCCCTTAGTCTGATCCTCTCTTCCAACTGTCCTTCTGGTAAAGGCAAAACTCTTTAAGTGGATGAAAAGAACATTGATTACCTCTCCACTCCAATTTGGTTAAGGGCAGAGTGGATTCTGTACCCAGACATACTGGATTCAAATTCTGGGCTCTGCCCTTGCTAGTTGGTGACCTTGAAAAAGTCACCCAACCTCCCTGTGCCTCAATTTTCTCTCCAGAAAAATGGGGATAATATCCACCTCCTACGGTAGTTGTAAAAATTAATTAACTTGCTTATATGTCAGGATCTTAGAACAGTCCCATCTTACAATAAGCATATATGTAAGGGTCAACTATTATTCCTCATTCACTACCTCCAATTCTACACTTCAGTCAAACTTATATCTCTTTCTTTAGTCTTTCTCATTTACTGTTCTCTGTCCAGAATACTATGACAACTGGTCACCTAAACCCAACCTTTAAGTCTTGTTTTGGACAGTATTACCTCTGGGGGCCTCTCCTCTCCCTCACAATATGGCTTAAGAGTTCAGGCTCTGGAGACAGATTGCCTGGGTTCAAATCAACACTCAGTTACTTAAAATCACCATAACTTTGGACAGGTTAAGTAGTCTCTCTCTATGGCTCAGTTTCCTCCTCTGCAAAAGGGGAAGAGGGCAGCACCCACTTCATAGAGTCACTGTAATGACCAAGTGAGTTCAGACTCCTGAAGCTCCCAGAACAGAATCTTGGAATAGTACCAGGCCAATAGTGAGCACTTAACAAATGCTACCTAATATTATTATTGCTAAGATCACTGTTATGCAGATCTCTGGCTGCCTTAAGCTCTCTAGTTCAGCATTGAATGAATGCCCCAGAAAGATATGATGAACTCAACTGTTTCCAGTCTTGATCTGAACTGCCTTCTTGCTCCAATCCTATCCTCCACTTTAAAGGCAATAATACTCTTTGAAGCCCGAAGGATATCCCCCCAGTCCTGCTCACCATCACCCCAAACACACATGGATGTTATGGGCCATCACCAGATGACCCCCAACTCCACCAGCCGCCTGGGCCCAAGCAGGCCTGGGACCGACCCCAAACCAGCCTTACATAGTGCCGTTCCTCCCTCGGCTCCACTCCTGGCTCCCACCCCCATCAGACCCCAGCTCTGCGCCGCCCGTACGGCCAGGCCGCTGACCGGTCCTGGAGCTGGAGGTCGGGTCGTTCTCGAGGCTCCTCATAGAAGCTGATGCCCGGGTGCGTAGCAAGGGCCTGCCACAGAAATTCCTGCGTGTAAGGCTCCAAAGGCAGCGGGAAGGGCGGCACTCGCGTCTCCAGACGGCTCCACAGCGCGGGCAGACACAGGCCATCAAGGCCCTCCAGGGCCACCTCGTCCAACAACGATTCCAGCGCGTCCATTCCTACTTCGACTAGCAGCGCTCTCTGCGCCTGCGCACCACGCCGCCGACTATTCCCCGGCCAGCGCGCTTGCGCACAACACTCGACAGCTCGGAGAGGTGGGTCGGACCTGGAGATCGTAGAAGTTCCAGCGAGCCGGAGACAGACTGCCGTCAGTCCTCTTGGAGGCGGGCTTAGTCAGTGAAACTCCGCTGCCATTTGTCCAGAACCCCGCAGTAACCAGGGGAACTGCAAACAGTGTAGCGGCCGCTTCCGGTTCTAGTACCCGGAACCGCCGCCTTTAGGGATGGACGGTGAGTGTCAGTGGGCCCCTCTGGGAGGTCGGGCGGTTATACTCTTATCACTCCTGAGGTCTCCCCAAACAGAATTCTAGACCACAGAACCCTGTACTACCACTGCCAGACTCAAAGTGGTCTCCAGTCTTGAGGGAAAGAGAACTTCAGTGGTCTGGGATGGGGAGTAGAGTCTGAGGGGGGTGATTGGTCAGCGGTTTGGTGACCGTGCCGAGTTACGGTGTAGGAACCCGCTACGGGCCGGGGGCTTAGTGAAAGATCGAAAGAAGTAGATGTCTGAGTGGGGTCTTGTGTGCCCTGGGATGTGGAACTGTGGGATCTGGGAGTTGGCATGGGGGTAATGCGTCATTGTGAGGAGTGGGGTCGTCAGCTAATGCGAACAGGGAGCTGGTAAGGTGGGTGCAGGGAGACTAAGGAATACTCTCTTTCCGTCTTTTCATGTTAATAATTGGTACTGTTCAGTGCCAGGAACTCTGTAAGCGCTGTCAAGCAACACCTCCCTAAGCTTCATAACAGCCTTTTGAAGTCAGTGTTGTTTTCCCATTTTACAAATGAGGAAACTGAGGCTCAAAGAATTTAAGTAACTTGCCACAAAGCAAACAGCCAGCATATGACGAAGTGAGTAAGGAGCCAGACACTCTGTCTTTTGAGTTGAATTATGGAGTTGGCGATTTTGAAGGGGTTTTAGAGGTGCAGATCCCAGAGGGTGCAAATGCGGATACCTACAAGGGCATGTCTGGTGGGCTAGATTGGGCTGTGACTGAAAGTCAATTCTCCTTTTGAAAAGGAAGCTTCTCACTTTAGCTCCAACCAATTATTTTCCTAGGGCACTTCTCAAAATATCATCATGGCCAATTTGTCTAAAGGCCAGACACAGCCTGTGGGCCACCATTTAGGGGTCCCTGGTTAGAATCATGGAATTGACATTTGGAAGCAATGTAAAAATAGGTTACTCTGATATCTCATTTTGTAGGTGGGAAGACTAATGTCTAGTGAGACTGGGAGGGTCCGTACTAGAATCTAGATCATTTTTCTTATTTCACCACTGTCCCTCACTTCTGGGGAATCTGTTCTTTGTGATATCCATTTAATGCAGTATGGAAAGAAAAAACTTTAAAAAAATTGAACAGTCTGTTATGTTCTTAAATGACACCTTTGCCCATGCACTTCAGAGGTACTATAAAATGTCACTTGCCAGTTTGTTATGTGGAAAGGTCAGTGTAACATTGGTGTAGAACAACAGTTCTCAAATCTTTGGTCTCAAAACACTTCATGCTGTTAATCTTGAAAGAGCTTTGTTTATATGTACTTTATCTATGGCATTTATGATATAAAGCTGAGAAAGTCTAAAGCATCCATTTATCAATTCATTTAAAAATAACAAATATGGGTAAATGTAGTAACCACATTGTTTTTCATGTGAAACCTTCATAAAAGTGTATCTCAATCATACCTTAATAAATAATTTAACTTCTAAACATAAAAATTACTTTTAATGAAAAACAGCTATATTTCCCCCGAAAAATTAGTAGGAAAAGAGGGCATTGTTTTACACTTTCCCAAATCTGTTCAATGTCTGCTTTGATAGAAAATAACTAGATTCATTTCTGCTTCAGCAACCAAACTTGTTATTTTGGCTGATGTATATGAAGGAAATCTGGCCTCACATAGATATATAGTTGGAACAGGGAGTGTTTTAATTGCTTTTTCAAACTTTTCAATTTCTTCTTTGATACTACACCCAAACTTAGCACATGGTAGTTTCTTGAAATTTAGTTGTGATGTGGCATTTGAAACCATATTGGTGAATTTTTGTACTCTGTTACATTAAAATCCATTGATCTCTCTTGACCTTTAATTGGATATTTTACCCATGTATGATTTTATAACATTAGGCATTGGTCATTTGAAAAACGTTGGTTCACTGAGTTATGCAAATCTGCCAAATGTTGATATTTGAAATTTCATTACATAATATCAAATGTAATGTTACCACCTATCTCATCTAAAAAAAAAGCTTAAGCTAGTAAACTCAAGATAGTTGAAACACACTTTCTGCTTGTTTTCACTTGAAAGCTTGAATTTCATCATTGGCAACAAATACTGCCAGTTGTTTCCTTAAAGGGATAAGCTCACTTCTTTTGTATTTAAAAAAATGTAAAACTCCCCAGTCTGAATGACTGTAGTTTTTCTATTAGCTGTTCACTCAAGTAAAAATGGCATTTTAGATAATAAGTGGCTAGTTCAGCTGGCACCTCAATCACACAAGAATTTGTTGGGCTCTGTTGTTGTACTTTGGCTTATATCAGAAGTGCTTTATGTGTACTTCCCATTTTTTCACACAATATGAAAAAGATTTGTACTCAGTTGAAATTTAATAAAATTAATTTTTACTATTTCATCAAGACATTCTTAAGTGAAAATGATTGTTTTATTGTGAGTACATGGCAGTAAAGAATATAATGACTACTAGTACAGTTTGGTGCCACTGTCTTGTAGCTACTCAGACCACAAGCAGTTTCACCCACTATTGCTTTTATAACAGTGCAACTATCAGCACAGTGACGAAGCCTTAGAATTGTGAAGAAAATAGTTTTGTCCTTGTGGACCCTTCCTCTTCCAAGGATCTGTGTAATATACTTTTAGAAACATTGCTTGTAGACTATTTTCAATAAGTCTGCTTACTCACTTCTACTTGTTATTGAAAGGAAAGGAGCAACACACAGCAGCAATTCACCGGAGAAATCCGCTTTATTAGGGAAAGGTGCTGGGTTATATAGGAAGGGGCATGGGGTGATTGTGGTGTTACTTCTACGGGACTGGTGGCTATTGGCTAGGTGCTGGGATTGGGAGAGGGGGCGAGAGGTGATTGGGCTTCAGGTGGTGCCGGAGGGAACCGAGGACGCCCCCCGCCCCTGCAAAGAGAAGCCGGAAGTTCACCATCTTACTGGTGGGGGCCCTTCATTCCCCCCTTTCTCCTCTGTGGGGTTGTGGATGTTGTTTTCTCTCTGACTGCTTCCTGCTGAACGGGGGTGGAGAAGGGAGTGAGGGCTTGAGGATTGGGAGGAAAGGGTTGATAGGACTCCCCGCAGTAAGGACGAGTAGATGTGGACTTCTTCAGGTTGGAAATCAATGAAGGTTCCCTGTAACCATAGGTCGAGGACTTGTTGATTCCAATGGTGCCAAGAGGATATGGGTGTCAGGAGCCAGGCGTCTG